AATTTAAAAAACTTCTTCTGACAGTTGTGGCAACTATTCAAAGCTGAACAGCAGCCAAGTCTTGATCGATTTTTGTTGATTCTCTATGGAAATGTATGTGGTGTTGGCAAAGTGTCGTGAGACAAAATATTTCTCACAGTATGGGCAAAACATGGTTTTGAAACTAAGTAAGCTATGGGAAATGCGCTTCTTTTCATAGCAGTAGTAGAAAAAATTCATTATCGAATCATTATCTGCAGTCACCTGGATTCTATCGTGGATTATTGTTTGAGGATAGTTGTGTATAGTGTGAACCTTGCCAGAAAATATATATCAGGGCATCATTATGGTAACCAACGGTGTAATTGTCTCAAATGAGATGAGCGATTTTGATAGTGACCATACTAACTCCTCAAAATTTCTAGAATCGCCTCTAAACCTACCCCTAGGGATTGTTCCAAAGATAAACAAGGATTCAATTGCTAAATCTCATAACTGAGAGATCTAGGATGAACAGAGTTGCCCCAATTAGCAGTTGAATAGGTGGTGGAAAAATTCCACTCAAGTATGTCAGGTAGTGCCATCTGTCAGCAGAGTGGTTCACTTGTAGTACCACTCTGTAGCGTATAGACGTAGGGGTCTGTACGTGTGACTATAGATGGCAGCGCCATACATTGTGTGTCGCGATCTCTGTATCCTACCTTAGAGCTTTGCCACAAGATGGCTACAACATGACTACAACTTCATGTTATACCCTGCATAAACAAGGAGGTTTTATTGAATTTTGGAGCATTTGACAAAACTGAGTTCTAAAAAGAATCACTATACAAGTTTCAGATTCTTTCCATTCAGTCAGTGTACAGGGTGAATTAGAAAATACTTTTCATAAGGGCGCTAATTTTTATCCACAAATGATAGGATTTTTTTGAAACTGCTGGTCAGACTACACGGGTAGATCAAATTCGAGGGCCACCATCGACATCTCGGAAACTATAGGAGATACAAAAATGGTTGAATCAGGTGGAAGTTGCGCATGTATGTAACTTAAAATATGCTGTCGAGAGATATAAGAAAAAAAAAACAAAGATATAGGTGAATCATTTTTATTTTTTCGGCGTTCTTTCTTGAAGAATATTAGAAATGAGAGCACATTCACATTGACACTTTTTTCCTGCTAGATGTTGACCTTTTCAAATTCATCATGCTATATTATTCGGAGAAATCCAATTTGGCGGCATTATCAAAAAATAACGTCAGAAAAAAATTATTTACCCAAACTTTTGTTATTTTATATATCTCCGGAAACATTCGGAATTTAAAAATTTTCACGACGGCATATTTTCAATAACATAAATGCGCAACTTTACCCCAATTTAAACATCTTTGCATGTCCAATATAGTTTCAGAGATCCCAATGGTAGCCCTCGAATCTGAATCACCCGGAATCATTTTGAATTACAATTGTGTTCTGAATTCCATCGTTGAAGTGGTTTTATGAATGGGGCACTAATAATGAAAAATTCTAGTATCTGCATACCACCCTGGAGAAAGATTCTCCTGGTGCTCTTTTCAAAACATCCATCAATTTTGATGAGTCTAATTTGCAACACTGAAAACGTCCCTTCTGGCAAAGATGAAATAGCTCTAGTTTACCTCATTTTGAGTAACATCATGTCGACGAATTGTTTTCTTTACAGGAATAATTGGCATCCCTCATGTAGATGCAGATTTTGTTGTATTCGCTGCTGCTGAATTATGCATGGAAATTGAATATATTATTCAAATTAGATGCTCCGACATTGACGATGGTTTTTGCTCTCATGTAATTAATTAGTGTGTTTCCATCCCTATGATTCCATTCAAATCTGCGCAAAAAAAATTAGGTAGTTATTTCTGAAATGTTCACTTTTTTCACTTACTATCTGAACTAGTGGAGAAATGATGAGAATGCGATTCCTCCTCGTGTGGTTTGAAAACATTCCAGATACTTCAACTGTCTCGCAAAAAACAATCCAAATACACATGGAAAAGTAGAGTTGATGATCTGAGATAACATGAATTAGGTATGATCTTTGAGTGTATAATCCAGTTATCTGATGGTGGAATAATATATTACATAACTAGTGGGGAAAGAGACATTTTTCGCACGAATGCGTAGCGGCCAGTGCGAAAATGTAACGAGTGCATGATTTACACATTCTAACGAGTAATGCACACTATCATTCCTAAGACCATGATTATATATTTCAAATCACAACACATAAATACAAATTTCAACAAACAACAAACAAACAACAAATTCAATTGTTTTAATATAACTTGTGATATGTCTTTATTTCCGTTGAAATTAACTTATTATTCGGTAAACAAATAATTTTTTCCCGAAGAATAAAAATTATTGGAAGTGATACTATTTGGAAATAATTTCTTTTATTCAATCCGAAGTTGTCGTGAGCTTGGCCGATAGCTAGCACGCATCTTGTAACCACTCAACCAAGAATACAAAATACAATTGCCGTTTACTGAAATTCAATGGACTATTTCGAAATGCATTGATGCTTTCTGAAATTGAATTGGCTATTCTGATATACAATTGACGTTTTCTGAAATTCAATGGACTATTTCGAAATGCAATTGTTGCTTTCTGAAATTGAATTGACTATTCTGATATACAATTGTCGCTTTCTGAAATACAAGTGACTATTCTGATATACAAATGACGCTTTCTGAAATTCAATCGACAATTCTGAGATACAATTGATGCTTTTTTAAATTGAATTGACTATTCTGGAGTACAAGTTTTTATTCTGATATACAATTGATGCTTTCTGAAATTCAAATGTCTATTCCGAAATACAATTGATGCTTTCTGGAATTGAATTGACAATTCTGATTTACAATTTTTGTTGTCTGAAATACAAGTGACTATTCTGATATACAAATCACGCTTTCTGAAATTCAATTGACTATTCTGAAATACGATTGAAGCTTTTTTGAATTGAATTGACTATTTCTGGATTACAAGTGACTATTCTGATAAACAATTGATGCTTCCTGAAATCCAATTGATCATTCTGAAATGCATTGATGCTTTCTGAAATAAAATTGACTATTCTGATGTACAATTGACGCTTTCTGAAATTCAATTGACTATTACGAAATACAATTGGCGCTTTCTGAGGTTTAATTGACAATTCTGAAATACAATTGACGCTTCCTGAAATACAACTGAAAAAGGTGTAGTTGGTTTCATATGGCACCACCATGGTATGAATATTTATCCCTTTATGAGGATTATCCCATTATTCTCATCATCAGTATCGTAATCGTTTTAATCAATCCAATGTTGATAACATTGAATCATAAGTAATAACCATAATCCCAATATGGTTTCAACCATCATTTCCAGAAGTGATTGTCAATTCTAATTATTATTTCTCTCATATTGAATGCCTACCAATTTTATTGTAATGATTTATTAGGTGGAATTACCAGAACGAACAATGGAGCTTGTTGCTTTTTTCAGGAACATGGAATATCATGGTCAGTTGTAGGTACTGAAAAGTTACACACCTAGTCCAATAATAATTATGAAGATGTTATAAAGGGTATTATTTGAGTCTGTGGCCAAACTTCAAGAGGCAATCATTTGGGTGACTCTTAGACGAAAAGTTCATGTGAACATAATATGTTCTGAAATGCTTTGTTTTCAAGATACATGGTGTTGAAGTTGGAAGTATTGATTGTTGTTTTTGATGATTACCCTGTATAAGCCTTTATGATGGCAAAATTCAGTCTGGTTGGTGACTGAACAAGTCTCAAAATTACAGAATAATACTCAATGAGGGTATGGAGTAATGCCAATAATGTGTAAATTGAGGGCAGCTACATTAAAATCTGGAATAAAATCAATTTTCAATATTTCCTCAGAAACAAAGTGATTTACAAAAATATAATAGGGGACAAGAGAGTTGTTTCTTCAACTGTTCAATCTAATGGTAATCTGAAAAAAATCGAACTTAGAAAAAACAATGACGTAGGTACAAGCGTAACATAAATATCGAAAAGGTAACCTCCTGCGACGCCACTGGTATCATTATTTCGAATCTAATCACACCAAGAGAAGCTTCTTGAAACTGTACAATCAACTACGAAATAGCAACAGTGCTCAAAGTGGACTGAAATGTTGAATAAATACAGAAAGCTCAAAGTCGTTTCCACACATTGTTCATGAAATGAACAAGAATGGTAGATTTCGAGAAACAACTACTTTCCTGGCTAACCTGGCCACGCAGAACATTGAATTACATCCTCTCAAAATCTATGCATCGACTCGTATGAAAAATTACTGATACATGTTATTCTTTCCTAAATTTCGAGCTGTTTGACCCTCATCAGTGCAGGGAAGTCTCCAGCCAGCAGTCCCAAGACCTAGCATTGTGGCTATTTCGTAGTTGAAATCAAAATGGACATTTTGGCAAAATATTCTGACTTGCAACTGCATACCAACGAGATTACATAGATACTCTCCAGAGAGCAACGCTAGAATGATCAGAAGAACAAGAATGTGTTATGTAGAAGCGGAGGGTACATTTTGAACAAGAAAAATAATCAAATTTGTGTAAGTAATTGGATAATTGATTGATGAAATATTACTCCACTTCATTTTACATTCTCTGTTGAATTCAATATTGCTCATTGCTCTTCGTCTATAGAGTTTTTAGCAAAAGTAGAATGAGGCATTTTCGACTTAAAATTGTGCAAGAAAATATGCCATTGATGAGTTATGGGCATCAAGTCATGGGACACCATTTAAAAGCTATTAACTGATCATCTTGAGAGGAATCAATAGTAGGCCCACTCTCATATTAACGAAGAACAATGGATTCTTTCAGTGAAAAACTTCGTGGCCATCCTGTTGTATCACACGAAAATTAGATCACATTGCTTCCTTTTTTATAGCGAAACCCCATTACCAAATTGGATCGCACCCCTTTAAGTATATACTTTCTTTGTTTCAGAAATCAAATAGCATCGGTAAACGGAGCATGGTCCCACATGAAAAACACAATAGCCACTCTCTTTCTTGGCGAAAACGATCTCACTGAAATCTCTACTGAAACTGCCAATCACAATCCGAAAAACTCACATACACTCCAACAGTTCAAATCCCTGATTTGGCTCAACTTGGATGGAAATAGAATACATAAAATCCATGAACGCTCTCTTCCACTGACCCTGAAAACAATCAGTATTTCCCACAATTTATTGGATAGATTCCCTCTTGAACTGATAAATTCTGTGCACTTGCAGTGGCTTTATTTGAGAGGTAATCACATCGAAACATTGCCTAGATACACGTCATCCAGGAAACTATGGCTGGAAAAAATTGATCTTGGTGAGAACTATCTAGAGGCTCTACCACGACACCCCTTCAATAAGTCTGTGTGCATAAGAGACTTCAATTTAGCACATAACGACTTTAAAACAGTGACTGCTGATAGTTTTTCCGGTCTCAATACTGGGAAAATCATATTCTCGCATAACTTACTGGAAACCATGGAAGAAAGTGCATTTAATGGCATAGTGAGAACATTAGAATATCTGGATCTCGATCATAATAACCTCGAAAGAATCCCAAATGCACTTGATGATTTGGAATCTCTGAAGTATTTATATCTCTCATCGAATTATCTGACTGAGATTCCAGATAACTCCTTCCAGAATTTTTGCCATACTCTAAAGGCACTGAGTTTGAGTGGAAATTATTTCACAAAGATACCGTCCAACGCTTTACAAAATTGTTCGAAAATTTCCCACTTCAATATCGCATTCAACAAGATATATGAGATAGATGAGAATGACTTCGTGAGTTGGGGAGACAATATAAAAAGCCTGATTTTAGCTAATAATAGAATAACTAATTTGAAAGATAAGGTTTTCTCGGGATTGCAGGAACTGAAGGAACTTAGTCTGAGCTTTAATCCATTAAGACAGATCGATAAAGATACATTTGTCGGGCTGGAAAGCCTGGAAAGTTTAGAAATTTCTTTCGGCTTTGACTCGGATGATTTATCTCACGAGATTTTTGCACCGCTCGCGAACTTGAAGTGGCTTTCAATTGACAACAATAACTTTAACATTTTATCTCCACAGGCATTCGAAACGTTGCCAGAGCTGAAATACCTCAATCTGGAATCAAACAGGATCCAATCGATCCCTGTCATGTTACTGAAGTCTTCCGTTCATTCTAGACTCAGAGATGTACGATTTTCGAACAACGAGTTGACTCTAATTGAAAGTTCGACGTTTAGGTCGATGGACAGTTTGGAGACGATTTTGTTGTCGAATAACAGGATAAAACATCTCCAAAGTGAATCTTTCGTTGATCTTCCCAGTCTGAATAAACTGATGCTTTCTGATAATTTTCTCACCAGCATCAAGCACAATACTTTCAGGAATTTACCAAGCATAATGAAAATTGATTTGCATAATAACCTTTTAGTGGATTTTTCATTCAAAATATTCACTAACGTATCTGGTCCATTGCAACTCAATTTGAGCAGAAATTTCATATCTTCTTGTCAATCAGATTCAACGATAATGAGAGTAGAAATTATTGATCTGAGGTACAATAATTTGGATCGGGTTCCGAAATGTCTGGAGCATACTTCATCACTCAGAAAGCTTTATTTGGATTTTAATATAATTTCTTTTTTGGATCAAAGTGTATTCATGTTTCTCACGTCCTTAGAGTATTTGAGTTTGCAACAAAATAATGTGAAAACATTGAATAAACGAGCTTTTCTTGGATTGCAGAATCTGCAGTTCCTAGATTTATCAAAAAATCTAATCAATCAGGTACACGTCAGTCAGTTTTCGAATATGTCGAAATTGCGCTTACTGAATCTAAGTGGAAACATTTTGAATTACTTATCGAAAGATATCTTCAAGAATACCTCTTTGGAGATGTTAGATCTCAGTTATAACTCTTTCTCAGTAGTGCCAAGTTCGAGTGTTTCTGACGTGGGGTACACTCTACGTTATTTGTCACTGGGATGTAACAATATCGAACACATAGATATAACAACATTTCCGGACATTCCATCTCTCCAGCACATGGATTTGAGCAACAATAAATTGACAATCTTGCCCGATAATGTTTTCACCAGCCTCGGATTATTGCAGACTCTCGACTTGAGTTCGAACCCCTTGAGATCCAACTTCAAGGAATTATTTCATTATGCGCAAAGTTTGAAGCATCTCAATTTGGCTTATTCCGGCATAAAATCCACTCCACATTTTCCATTACCTAATCTAGTCCACTTGAATCTATCTCATAACCAGATTGAGGTAATCAGTAGGAATTCTGTACAGTTCTTGTTCAAATTGAGACTGCTAGATTTGAGTTATAATAGTCTATTTTCTGTGCCCTCGCATCTGTGGAGTTACCTTCCGCTCTTGAAAATCCTGGATCTTTCGCATAATCCAATTAAAGAGTTGTTAGCGGACAGCTTTCATGGATTGACTAATTTGCAAGAACTGAATGTGCAATATTTGAATAGTTTAAATAGATTTGAGAGCACGAGTATTTTACAGCTGCGAATAATTTCTAAGCTTTCCATGCAGACATGGCCTAGAATTGACGGATTTTCGAAGGAATTCTGTCATTTACTTTCCCGTCTTACTCAGTTGAGGAAACTGAGAATCAGTGTGGTGGACAGTGTATTGGATGATCAATTGCAATGTTTGACGAATAGGAAAATCAGACATCTAGAAGTGACTGGTGCCAATTTGAAATTCATAGAGAAAGACGCTTTTTCGGGATTCAGAAGAAATCCTGAGCTGACCATAAAGATCCACGGTACGAAGATCGAAGAACTACCTTCAGGACTGTTTTCGAATATGTACAGAATATCTCATTTGGCTATAGATTTGAGGTACAATGCACTGACTCACTTGCATCCTGAGGTGTTTTATGGGAATCTTAGTAGATGGAACGATGTCGGTACAACCCTCATATCAGGTGAGTTGACCATTTTCTCAATGTACGGAGTGTGTCAAATCTTTTATGAAAAATGCATGACAAATCATTGAAGAATCAATAACTGTTAGGATACAGGATGTTTTCGACATGAATAGACATACGACATAACCCTCAATATAGATAACCCCAAACATTTTTCAAACAAAGTGTCACTGATTATTGATCGAATGATGCTCTTAGGTTCCTTATAAAGGAATTCCAAGTGCATCAGTGATAGTGTAGAAATAACAAATAATGAGTACTATACAGGTATTCCAAGATAATACAATAGAGACAGCGATCAAAAATTTCAAATATGAATATTGACATGTTGATTAAGGTTTTGTCATTCAGCAAGCGTTGCCAGACTATGAATGAAGAGTCGTGAATAATATTTTTTTAAATTTTCGCGATTTTTGTTTTCATGATTCAGAAACATTTTTGATCATTAAGCTTTGATTTCATGTGATTGTCATTGTTCTATAACAGATTCACATGATCAAAACATTCTCGATACATCATTTCAAAACCTTGAGAAACGCAAGAATTTTGCTGGAAACATTAGATTTATCAAGAAAACAGCTATGCTGGCAACACTGCATTTAAATAGCAAATATTCCAATACCTACCTCCTTTCTCTATGAGGCGCCGTTTGGGTCAAAAGTGTGTATCCATATATATACTAATTCATGCCGAAATATTTATTAGTTGCAGCAATATATATTATTTTCAACCGAAATATTTATTAGTTGCACCAATATATAATAATTTGCTGCCCCATATATTTATTATCCACAAAACCCAATATATTTATGTTTCAAGCGTTACCAATATATATAAACGTGTATATGCAGATGCTTATATAAATGTCAGCTTTTTCATCTTTCGAAGAGATGGCGCAACGGACGCACGCGTATTGATTTTATTCGGGATTGAGCACTTGGCATCAGCGCAGTCATTAGTACATGAAGTGGATAGTAGATGGTGGAATGGATAGAATTTAATCAAGGTTGGTAGAGCTGAGGATCAGGGCACTTTGTTCAGTGTTCACATATTTTGTGTTTTGCATACATTTTATTTCTGCTATTCAAATTGTGTTAATTCTTGAAGTTATCACAGAAAATATCAAATATCATTGTTGAATCATCATAACATCGTGTGTGTTATTAAAATTATACTGTCTTAGGGATAGTATTACAGCTACTAAGAAGCCTTTCATCAAACCTGTGACATTCTGTAGGATTATCAGGAAAAAATCACCCAACCATTTCAACTATCGGTGAATTAGAAAGAAGATGATATATTTGCAATGGCAATGAACAATCTGAGCACAAAAACCGACCAAAAGCAATGTGCTAATCTGTCTACTGGCGCATGTTCACACTTCACTCAGCTCTGGACTCAGCTATTGTGCCTCAAATTGATCATAAATTCCATACCAAGATATTTCATATGACCACAACATGCTTATAGCTGCAGCTCCAGGAAGCATTTTTCAAGTCAATATGAAGAAAGAACTATTTCAACTCACAAAAATTCTAATTTTTCCATCTGTAGAATGATGTTTGCAAATTTGGAATTTCCCTTCACAACAACTTCAGAGATTACCCTGGATTTATAGTAGATATCATCAATGGCCCACAACCTCAGCAATATAACCTACTTCTAGCATCTTGGAGGCGTTTTTATATAGCACCACAGATATACTGTCTGTAGGTTAATCGAGGAGGTGGTATATTCATTATTCCAAATTTTTTGGGATTTTCTCTCCTCGTTTCTATAAAATAAAAATATGAATATTATTTCAATATACGTGTAGCAAGGACAAATCAGATGATTTGCCCCAAAATGTCACTGCGTTTAAAGAATTTTCCTATCAGAGAGCCTAAAAGAAAAATTCACTAGCTTGTCAGTGACAATTTGTATTGAAAAGATTTTTGGAGAAGGGAAATAAAGGTATATAGAAAAAATATCAAATTTTCACTTATCTTTGGACGTTTCGGGACCGGTTCTGCTCCCGTTTTCAACATAAGAAGAGTTTATTTCAATAGCGAAGTCGTATAATGTCTTGAAGCTTTTCAGTTTTCAATGACAATTGGTGACGTTGGCAATCAAATGAGTTACAGGATGTTTTCATTAATTGATCTTGAATTTACCATTTTCATGTTCTGATTTTAGTAGTGAATACCATGTTCTGTCTATATCAACTGAACAAGAAGCAATGTTATTGTCTCCGTTCGGAAGAATGCAAGCAGATTCCTTGATTTTTCTCTTCTGGTTGTTATCTTCTTTTCCAATAATTTTAATATTATTCCACTCTGCCATATGTTGTCCGTCTTCAGTAAGGATATGTTCAGCTAGTTTCGATTTATCGATGTTTCTTTTCTTTATATTGTACTTATGTTCCTTCGTCCTTACTGAAAGAGGTCTCTTGGTTTCACCTGTATAAAACTTTCCACAAACACAAGGTATACTGTAAATACAATTTTTTGATGATTGTTCTTCATTTTTCGGCTTTGTTTGAATTAGAATTGATCTCATTGTATTTTCAGTTTTGAACACAGTTTTCACTTGAAATTTATCACCAACACGTTTTATTTTTTCAGATATGCCGGGAATGTATGGTATTATATTTGTCGTTATTGATGGTTGATTTTGTTGTGGTTGACCCTGTTTGTTTTCAATTCGATGAATCGTCCTATCGACAAAATTCTTTGGATAAGAATTGAGTTGGAGAACATTTTTAATATGTTGGACTTCGTTATTGAAAATTTGTTGGTCAGATGATATTGATTTGGCTCTATCATGGAGTGATTTGATTATTCCTTTCTTAATACTTTTCTGATGATTTGATTGAAAGTTCAAGTATCTGTTAGTATGGGTCTTTTTACGATAAACACTCGTTACAAAGATGTTATTTGATTTTTCAATAAGAACATCTAGAAACGGTAATTGATTATTAGATTCAATTTCCAAAGTGAACTTTATTGTAGGTTCGGCATTGTTCACATAATCCAGAAAATTATCTAGCTCCATAACATTGTGAGGCCAAATTATGAAAATATCATCTACGTATCGCCACCATGTTTTAGGTTGTTTTTGGTAATTTTTGATGATGTTGTCTTCAAAATTCTCCATAAATATATTGCTCAAAATTGGAGATAATGGCGATCCCATGGCCATTCCAAAGTTTTGTTGATAAAACTCATCACCCAATTGAAAATATGTTGTTTTTAGACACAATTCCAAAAATTCCATTATTCCTTCGATACTTAAATTAGTTCTTTCAGTGAGACTTTCATCGTCTTCTAATTTATGTTTCACTATTTGTAAAGTTTTATCTATTGGAACATTTGTGAATAAACTTACTACATCAAAACTAACAAGAGTATCATTTGTATCAAGAGTGATGTCATTAAGTTTTTCTAAGAAATGAGGAGTATTTCTGATGTAACTCTCACTTTTTCCTGAAATAGGATTGATGATATTCAAGAGAAATCTTGCTAAATTTTGACATGGAGATCCAATTGAACTCACGATTGGTCTCAATGGAACATTTGGTTTGTGTATTTTTGGAAGTCCGTAAAAATGAGGAGGTTTGCTGTGATATGTGGAGATATTCTTTCTTTCCGCGAGTGTCAATTGATTTTCGTGTTTCTTAATAGTGTTACGTATCTTTCTTTCGATATTTGCTGTAGGATCTTTATTCAATTTCGTGTAATTACCATCATTTATAAGTTGTTCAATTTTAGTATTATATTCAATTTTGTCCATGATGACTGTAGCATTTCCTTTATCAGCTGGAAGTATTTTGATTGTGTTATCGTGTTTTAGGTTATTAATTGACTGTTTTTCTATTCTAGTTATGTTTTGTGTGATTTTGTGTTCTTTTTCAATTATAATTTTATTTCTAATTCTATACTCATTAGAAAATTCATCAGGAAGTCTTTGCGCAGTTTGTTCGATTGCTGTAATAAATTCTAATCTTGGAAAATTATTTGGAGTTATTGAAAAATTCATTCCTTTTGATAATATTAATTTCTCAGTATCTGTTAATACTCTCGATGATAGATTCACAACAGTTTTGTTCAAGAAATTCTGTTGACGACTTCTGAATTGCAATTCTTTTCGTTGTTTTTCATTAATGAGATTATTGAATTTTCGTATGTGAATCTGTTTGTTCTTAGCATTCTCCTTTGTATAAGAATTATGAACACAAATGAAAATATGTGTTGAGTCATCCTCGTGTAAATCATTATATAAATTATGTTCTAATTGTGATATGATGTTCTTTATTCTTACCTTATTGTATTTGTGGAAACTTATTCTCTCTCTTACCAATGCCTTACTTGCTTTCAGAACTATCCATTCACATCGTCTACTATAAAATGGTGCTTTTAAATGTAACCCTTTTGGTATCACTTCATTATTACGACATTTGCAAAGAAAGGTTAAACTATTTTCCGTGTGAGACAGTTTTATATATAAATCTTCAAGTTTTCTGAACTGATGATTGATGTGAGGCCCATACCTATTTGTTAAATACTGTCTGTAGGTTAATCGAGGAGGTGGTATATTCATTATTCCAAATTTTTTGGGATTTTCTCTCCTCGTTTCTATAAAATAAAAATATGAATATTATTTCAATATACGTGTAGCAAGGACAAATCAGATGATTTGCCCCAAAAAAAAGAATATCTCCACATATCACAGCAAACCTCCTCATTTTTACGGACTTCCAAAAATACACAAACCAAATGTTCCATTGAGACCAATCGTGAGTTCAATTGGATCTCCATGTCAAAATTTAGCAAGATTTCTCTTGAATATCATCAATCCTATTTCAGGAAAAAGTGAGAGTTACATCAGAAATACTCCTCATTTCTTAGAAAAACTTAATGACATCACTCTTGATACAAATGATACTCTTGTTAGTTTTGATGTAGTAAGTTTATTCACAAATGTTCCAATAGATAAAACTTTACAAATAGTGAAACATA